GCTTGCACAATTTCCAGATGAATACCGAGAAAGGGCATTGGAAATAAAGGTGGTCTCTAGATTCCTTCTCTAGATTGCAGAGTACACAGTTCTCCGAAGAAGAGATACCAAAATTAATTAGTCTGTCCCTGGTTGGCAATCTGTTATATAGAGCTCTGAGCAAGCAATAAGACATTCTTGGAGTTGAAGAAGGAAACCAAACCACATTGTAGAGTTCAAATATATCACCAGAGTTACGTATATGATTCCAAGCTGAATAAAAAGTAAACTCTCCGCTACTAGTAGGCAACCATTTCCAGCTGTCTTTTTGACCTGTAATAGAGGTTTTAGCAATAGAAGGCAGCAGGGGAATTAAGCATGGTATTCTAATGTTCCATTGGGAGTTATGGATGAGGCGAGATACAGTCCAATTGCTAGTTCCAGTTTGTTGAGGGGAGATAGAATGTAACAGATCAACGATTCTACCTTCTTGAATCCATGGGTCAAACCAAATAGAAGTTGTATCACCATTGCCTATGGATTTTCTAATGCAATCCAAAGCTTTACTTTTTGTATGTGATAAATGTTTCCAAGTACCAGAGTCTAGTATATTAGCTGTAGCATTCCAAAAATTACCTCCTTTAATATATCTGCCATGCATCCAGTTTGCCCAGAGTGAATTATCTGAAGTAAGTAATCTCCATATCAACTTTAATGCCGCAGCTTGACATAGATCATCAATTTTCCGCAGTCCAAATCCTCCTTCTTTTTTTGGTCGACAAACATCTTTCCAGTTAATAGCATGAAGCTTTCCAATCCACATGAAATTAGCAAATATAGATTCCAGACTTTTTACAATTGATTGAGGAAAGTTAAATACAAAAAACCAGTAAGCAGAGGTACTATATAGGATAGATTTTATTAGTTCCACTCTTCCAGCAAAAGATAAGCTTGTTGTCATCCATCCCTCAATTCTATTTCTGATTTTGTCAACTAAAGGGACAAAATCTCTCGATTTTGGATAGTTAACAGATAAAGGTAATCCCAAGTATTTCATAGGTAGTTTTCCTCTTGAAATTCCCACAATAGAGCTTAATTCATCTTTATTCATGCATCCTTTACTGAAGAAAATTTTACTTTTGCTCCTATTAATTTTCAATCCAGTGTTCTGTTCCATAGATGACAGCAAATTGTTGATACCTTCAAGAGACTTTTTATTTGCTCTACAAAAAACCAACATGTCATCCGCAAATAAAAGATGAGAGATTTGAAGATCCTGATGCTTATGGAAGTTTTGAATATTTCTTGATATAGTAGCAAGTTCCATGCCAATTGACCAAAATTCCATGACTAAAACAAAGATATATGGAGATAGAGGATCACCCTGTCTTATACCTCTATTACTTTGGAAAAAACCAGTGGAGGAGCCATTCAGAAGGACAGAAAAAGAAGGAGTAGAGATGCATTCCTTGATCCATTCGATCCATTTAACTGGAAAACCCATCCGATGCATGATATAATAAACAAATTCTCTGTTAATGCTATCAAAAGCCTTGTGTAAATCAATTTTCAGACATGCTCTTTTTCCATGTTTCTTATTGAAATCTCTAAGTAATTCATGAGCTAGCAATGAACATTCACCAATATGTCTCCCTTTGAGAAAAGCATGTTGATTCTTAGAAATCAATTCACCCACCACCACTTTAAGCCTATTGCTTAGTATCTTAGTAATAAGTTTGTAAACAACATTGCAGCAAGAGATAGGTCTATACTCATGGATGGATGTGGCATTTTTTGATTTTGGAACAAGTGTGATGAAAGTATGATTAATTTGCTTGAGCATCTTACCTGATGAGAAGAAGGATTTTACTGCCACGACAACATCCCCTTTGATAATATTCCAGTTTTGTTGAAAAAAATAAGGATTGTAGCCGTCAGGACCTGGTGCTTTATCTGGATGCATTTGAAAGAGAGCATATTTAATTTCCTTGTAATTTACTTCCTGAACTAACCATTGTCTTGCTGCATCTGTGAGAATTCTCTTCACTGTTAACTTAGGAAACACATTCCAATAGGAAGTTTGATTGAAAAGATCTTCATAGAAAGCAGGAGCAGAGAGTTTAATATGTTCAGCAGAAGAAAGTAGAGAACCATCTTTGCCAATCAAAGATCTGATGTTATTTGTAGAATTTCTTTGTTTGATAGCATTATAAAAGAAACGATTGTCTCTATATATATATATATATATATATATATAGAGTTTAATGCAAACCTTGGCTTGAAGATATTTTAGGCGAGAAAGTGTTGTATAATAGTTATGTTATCCAAAAATCAGAGAATAAATTTCTACAAAAGAAAATAATATGTCTTATGACCATTAATTTATGAGAACATATGAGGAATGCAGATAGTTAAACAAATTAGCGTAAATTTTCATAAAAATTCAATAGTAAACGATCAACTATAATCATTATTACAATTAAAATATAAAAATTATTGATATTCTTCACTAACATGATACTTGTAATTATGGAATAAATCTTGAATATGAAATTGGAATTGAGATGGTATTATCCTATAGGTAAAAAAATATGTGTCAGAAACTAAGAAAACAATATTAAAATTATATCCTATCCTAATCCTATATGAACTATCTATAGCTTAACAATTTAATAAATAATTTTAATAAAATATACAAAATATCTTTATGGTATCGGTTTGTTCTCTTTTTATTTTATACAGTTTATGGACAAACTTGTGCATTTGCCTCAAGAGTGAAGTGGTAGCATGCGGGCTTATATATGCAGCAACGTGTAGGTTTCAAATTCCACTTCCTGGTTAGTTAGTATTCGATGCTCATTGAAAAGGGATAAATGAAAATTTTAGAGTTCAAATTCCTTTGACTGAAACTTATGCGTTCATTGTCTATCATCTCTGTTCAGGTTCTTCATAACCTTGATGTCAATAAGGTTAAGGTAAGATGCATTTATTTATAATTCCATGCAATATTTCTCATTGATTTGATAGTTGCTTAGATATTTGGTTATTCTCTAATGGTAATCTAGAATCCCTGCAGTGTTACACCCATGCAGACATGCATTAACAGTAATCACCACATTTGCATTCATGCTTAGATGGTCTTATTGTTGAGATTGCTGTCATATTTTATTTTTTCTTATAATATTTTTTGCTTTTAGGATTTCTCTTCCTTTAGTGCAAAAATCTATTTCTCCTTTATAGCACTGATAGTTATATATCAGTATTTTCCCCTTTCCTAAACATGTGCAGTTAACTTTCTATATGACATTGTACATCGCAGAGATCAGTTTATTGATTGACTCATTGTTTGAAAGAATCAATGTCTATGAATTTGTCCTATGCCTTTCTCAATTTGTTGAAGTGATGCTTGAGTATGCCTATAGTTCCTTTCTTTCTCGTCCAGAACTAAGAAACCAAACTCACATCCTCAAGTTCCAAAGGTAACACAAGTCTATATGCTATTATTTTGAATAAGGAATTTTAATATTTTAATTGTGCAGGTATGAGTTATATAACGAATTTTAATATTTTAATTGATTAAAATATTTTGTTGTATTAAATCATATCATAATCTATTGATTCTATGCACTATGAACGAAAACAAACAAACAAATAAATTTGCAAAAAAACATAAACTAATTAAAAGCATGCAAAGAAAAAGAAGAAGAAGAATAAATAAATATAATTAAATAAATCTAAATTAAAATAATATCAAACATTAAGATTTGCCTTGATATATGTGAGAACCTGCAACAATCAAATCTCTATTCCTCTAAATTCTGCATGAAAATTGAATAATTTTGAAAAATATTAATTTCCATAAAATTTAATTGCAGCGTAAAACAAATATCAGCATTAAATTAAATACACAATATATTAAAGAATAATCATGAAAATAAAAAAAAACCATACATGTTGAAGGAGATGGAGCTTTACTATGAAAATTGTGTAATTTCTTGGTTTGTATATGTAAAACCCCGTAAATTTGAATATTTTATGATAAATAATGATAAATATGTTATATGATGAAAAATAATATATTTTGATATTTGGATATGATAAGAATTGATTTGAGATCAATTCAATATATATTTGTAAAAATATGAGTGCAAATGCACAAAACATGCACAAAGGCCAAAAGAGTGAAAATCTGGGAATAATGACCAGTTATGAGTTTTTATATTTTTCACATCGATGCAGTTAGAATTTGGAAAGGTGTAAGACAAAATTTGTAGGTCTCTTCAGAATCTTTCCAACAAGTCTTAGATCACCTCATTCTGAGGTCGGATGAGAAAGTTATAGCCAAAATACCGAAGGGATATTTTCCTAGTCAGACTAGGTTTCCTGGTTCGGGTCTAACTGGTTTGTTTCGGGTTTACCTCTATAAATACCTGTATTTTTCACGAAAATTTCTTTCTTTTATCATATCTAAGAACCCTAACAGACACTAAACCCCCATAAACCCTATTTTGAATTCTTTGAGAAGATTGGAGGCTTTCAAGTTGGGTTTTTGTTGATTTTTGGCTTTTGGAGTGGAGATCTCCTTCGACGTTGCTTCTAACAAGTTTTTCCTTCAACCCCTGGCGAGTATCATCTCTACTAATCCCCTACCAGTTTTTAAAATATTTTTGAAGAGTTTTTAATGAGTTTTATAGAACCTAATTAATTATTTTGTATATAAAAATTGGATCTTTTGTATATATGTATAAAGACTAGGTCTTTTCATGTTAAAGAGATTAAGCACGAATTTACAAAAGTGCCTCAAACTTGCAGGCAGAGGCAGGCTGATGAATTCCGGGAGTCATGGCGATCTTCTAATGATCATGAATGTAATTTTCATTCAAAATAATGTTTCTTAAGAGAATTTACAAATTAGTTATAACTGGAATTTACAGTATTGCACCTTTTCTAAAACTTTTATATGCATGGACTCAGACCTGCACAATTAGCTTAAGAGATTAATACTTTGTATAAATTTGCAGGCTGTTCATTTTTCATGTCTTTGAGTTTCAAATATAGATATAACTTTTATGACATCCGTCTCGGTTTGTTCTCTTTTTTATTTTATACAGTTTATGGACAAACTTGTGCGTCTGCCTCAAGAGTGAAGTGGTAGCATGCGGGCTTATATATGCGGCAACGTGCAGGTTTCAAATTCCTATTCTTGGTTAGTTAGTATTCAATGCTCATCGGAAAGGGATCAATGAAAATTTTAGAGTCCTCGCACATTTGCGCTCTCTTCAAAAGGCACAATACGTTTCAGTCTACCCAGGGCAATAATGATTCTTTCTCGTCCAGAAATAAGACACCAGACTCACAGCCTCAAGTTCCAAAGGTAAGACAAGTCTATATGCTATTATTTTTCGAGTGAAGGTGTTTGGTTTTGTCTGCTTACAAAAGCATTTGTGTTTTTTTCATTAGGATTCTACAAAGAATGCTAGGATAAAGTTCATCCTTGACAAATATCCGAAGTTGAGGAAAATGGGCGATCACTCTAAATCTGAACAAGCTGACTTGCATTCCAAAAAAGGTTATATAAGGAATTTTAATGCCTATATAAGGTATAGTAATCTAGTTTTTTATTACTATATAAGGAATTTTAATATTTTAATTGATTACAATATTTTGTTGTTTTAAATCATAGCATAATCTATTGGTCGTATGCACTATGCACTCAAACAAATAAATCTATGCAAAAACATAAAGTAATTAAAAGCATGCAAAGAAAAAGAAGAAGAAGAATAAATAAATATAATTAAATAAATCTAAATTAAAATAATATCAAACATTAAGATTTACCTTGATATATGTGAGAACCTGCAACAATCAAATCTTTATTCCTCTAAATTCTGCATGAAAATTGAATAATTTTGAAAAATATTAATTTCCATAAAATTTAATTGCAGCGTAAAACAAATATCAGCATTAAATTAAATACACAATATATTAAAGAATAATCATGAAAATAAAAAAAAACCATACATGTTGAAGGAGATGGAGCTTTACTATGAAAATTGTGTAATTTCTTGGTTTGTATATGTAAAACCCCGTAAATTTGAATATTTTATGATAAATAATGATAAATATGTTATATGATGAAAAATAATATATTTTGATATTTGGATATGATAAGAATTGATTTGAGATCAATTCAATATATATTTGTAAAAATATGAGTGCAAATGCACAAAACATGCACAAAGGCCAAAAGAGTGAAAATCTGGGAATAATGACCAGTTATGAGTTTTTATATTTTTCACATCGATGCAGTTAGAATTTGGAAAGGTGTAAGACAAAATTTGTAGGTCTCTTCAGAATCTTTCCAACAAGTCTTAGATCACCTCATTCTGAGGTCGGATGAGAAAGTTATAGCCAAAATACCGAAGGGATATTTTCCTAGTCAGACTAGGTTTCCTGGTTCGGGTCTAACTGGTTTGTTTCGGGTTTACCTCTATAAATACCTGTATTTTTCACGAAAATTTCTTTCTTTTATCATATCTAAGAACCCTAACAGCCACTAAACCCCCATAAACCCTATTTTGAATTCTTTGAGAAGATTGGAGGCTTTCAAGTTGGGTTTTTGTTGATTTTTGGCTTTTGGAGTGGAGATCTCCTTCGACGTTGCTTCTAACAAGTTTTTCCTTCAACCCCTGGCGAGTATCATCTCTACTAATCCCCTACCAGTTTTTAAAATATTTTTGAAGAGTTTTTAATGAGTTTTATAGAACCTAATTAATTATTTTGTATATAAAAATTGGATCTTTTGTATATATGTATAAAGACTAGGTATTTTCATGTTAAAGAGAGTAAGCACGAATTTACAGAAGTATTTTAAGATCTAAAAATAATTTAAATATTGTTTATCTGAATTTAGATATCTTATGCTTCATTTTAAAGTTTCGTGCATGATTGAATGTTTACATATGATTTCTTGTGCAAATAATCATGCTTGTTATATTCTGCTAGAAAATCTGCTGCACAAATAAAATGTTTGGTTGGAAATTAGAAATATCATATGAACTCCAAACTGAGCCAAATCAGTGTCAAATGATAACTATGTGAGTCTAGTTTCCAAAACGAAAAACTATTCTTAAAAGAGTTTGTCCAGAGAAACATATTCTTAATTTACTAATGATATGTTCTGCAGAAAACTGCAGATGTGCTGATTTGAAATAAATTGATATATTACGTAAAGGTATCTTGAGTTTCGCTCTTGTTTGTTATTTTTGAGAGAGTTTCTCAATCTTGTACTGTTATATACAATGCGTAAGAGTTGTTTAACATCTGGGATGATGATGAACACCAGATATGGACACGCACACCGAGATATGTGCACGTACACTTAGATTATGTTGTGTTAACATACTTTTTGTCGCACGTTGAGCTGATGAATACATATAAAAGAGTATAGTTATTTTATGTATCCGGAAATAGGGATTGAGTAAGAGTATTACAATAGTATCGTTATTACATGTATCCGGAATAGGAAAATAATAAACCCTATTGTCACAGAATGATTGAGTAAGAGTATTACAACAGTATCGTTATTATATGTATCCGGAATAGGAAAATAATAAACCTATTTGCCGCAGAACGATTGAGTAAGAGTATTACAACAGTATCGTTATTATATTTATCCGGAATAGGAAAATAATAAATCCTATTGCCACAGAGCGATTGAGTAACGAGCATTACAAAAGTATCGCTATAGTATAATATGATGCACACATAGATAATTGATCAGTTGTAAGTTTTACTTTCCAGATAGATTGCCCGCGAGTAGGGTATTTCCTTTGAGAATTTGATACACCCGTTATGGATGGAAGATATATTTGTTTTAGCTTAGTTGGTATCCTCTTATATTAGAGCAGGTCATTCGGACGTAATTCGAGATGAGATGATTATTCTTTATGTTGGAGATTGGAGTATTTATCATTGATTATTTGTTTTTCATTCATAGAGAGTTATATGAATGATTTGATATATGTATGTACTGACTCTATTTTCTTATATACTCCTACTCCTTCCCCTGGGGAGAGGTAGTGATGATCTCGCTAGCGCTTTGACGCTCGTTGTTTTTCCCCCTTTCAGGCAGCGAGTCTGGCGCACGGAGAGGCGCAGGGTGGTGGGACTTCTTAGTTGTCCATTTAGTTACTTATCATATTTGTAGTTATTGTATAACTCCACATGTAGTTGATTATTTTCAGAATCTAGATTGGTATTTTGTTTCATAGAGTTGAGAGCTATTGTGAGACTTTGTTTATGTGACTCATTGAGATTCAGTTCAGACTCATAGATATGTCTATTTTATTCTAGTTGGGCTCATTATTGATTTTTCTTATGCTTCTTCTGTGTATATCCAGTGTTGTCCTATTTCTATTTTTACTTGTCTGTACCTTCACCTATTTATTGTTCCACTAGAGAGATAGTGATTGTGATGGTAAAACTTGTCATAACATGGTGGTTGGTGCTTGGCAGGTTTGACAATCCGGATTTTACCTGGGACTGCAGCCCTGTGTGAACCCTGGGGCGTCACAGTTAGTATCAGAGCTCTAGTTCCAGCATCCTTAGGATCATTCATGTGTCAAATTGTGGAGCTAGGATAGAGTTTCCTAGGATTCACGTATAGAGTCCATTAGGAATTCCTAGAATGAGTGAGGACGATATGTGCGTATATCTCAAAATTTCAATTTTTTTATGACTATTATTTTATGTTGATTTGAAGTATTTGCGTGAATACTATATGTTATGAATATGTATTGTGATACGTTATGTATATGTATATATGTTTGCGGTCTCACTTACTGTGATCATAAGCTCTCCTCTCGATAATATAAATATTGGAACGAGGATGCAGTCGAGATAAAACTCATACCTGAAGAGCTGGGCAAGCAGAGTCCGAGCTGCAGTAGGCTCCACAATATTTGATCGACTTTATGGCACCGTTTGTAGAAACAGAGACTAGCAACACTCGAGGAGGGAGTAGCGAGCCACATTACATTTTCTGGAGTTCCACCACCCGTTGTACTAATTGTACCTATTGAAGAGGTAATACTAATGATTACATTATCACCATAACCATTTGTTGATAGAGATACAGAACAGGAGGCTTGGCTCTATAAGAATAAGAAAGATGAAGGACACTAAGAACACCATAGTGCATGGCACATTGGATTCATATGCAGCTTATAAATAAAAAGGAATATGTAAAAATTCCTTAACGTAGACTCAGTATCAAACCAGAGGTTAAATATATTCAGCACAGATGATATCACTGGAGAATAGCAGCAAAGAATAGCTACGATTTCAGATTTTCGTCAGGACAGTGAATATCACTTATTTGGGAAAATTTTGTTTGCTTTTTCGACAAACAGTTAGAGCTAGTTTGCTTAAAACAGTGAGATATGCCTATAGTTAATTGCAAAATCAAGACTAGCATGATGGCAATGTCAAGGGCAAGAGGCCTATTATGGGATCTAGATGACCCCAACAGCGAGGTAAGGATTTTTACTATCAGCAATAAAGACATTACAAGAAGATAGCAAACATGATTTGATAACACCGCAGCAGCGCATGATTCGGGACACATGATATAATTATAACAAGATCGAACATAGAGAGAAGAATTATCACAGTACACCAGTAGGAGACTAGCATGATAGAGATCAGGGCCAATAATCTTAGGGCAACAGTTACGGCTAGCATCGGAGGATAGATGTTCTACCGGTTATTCTGAGGATGTAGGGGCCTATAGGCCAGAATTGTGCTATTCAGAGTATTTATCAGTATCAGATGGACCCATGTGTTTCACTGTCAGTAGCGTAGCAGGCGTCGGCCACCAACAGAGTTTATGTAGTCGCGCCACGTGATCATAGTGCGAGCAGAGTTTTCATAGTAAATTCTTATCCAGCTCGAATCTTGTTGATTCAGAAGCTTCGCATTTTTTTATCTATCATGATGTCATGACTGTTTTGCTAAAACAGTACACTTGTGAGCATTCGTTGGGATTGTATAGATAGTAGCAACCTCATAGGGTAACCAGAATACAGAGTCATTTCTGGCATACGTCGAAGAGGTGATGATACGGGATCGGGGTGCAGTTTTGAGCGAGACCGGAGTTGTCTCAGTATATCAGGATGTCTTTCAGGATATACCTATGTTTTCTCCAGTGAGAGAGGTTGTTTTCCTGCAACGAGTTGCAGCAGGCACCGTACCGATATTCCGAGCACCTTACCATATCATATGGCACCCGCTGAGATGAGGGAGCTACATACTCAGCTAGATGAGTTGTTATCACAGAGTTTTTTTTTTTTTTTTTTGGAGCACCGGTCTTCTTCGTGGGGAAGAAGGACTATAGCATGCGATTGTGTATCGATTATCGTGAGTTGAACAAGGTCATTTTCCGGATCACGGATCCACTATCGAGGATTTATGACTTGTTTGACTAGCTGCGGGGAGCGTAGCATTTCTCAAAGATTAATCTTCATTCTAGTTATTTCCAGTTGCGATTGCGGTAAATGGATGTTTCCAAAACCGCATTTTCTGACTCGATATGGGTCTTTTGAGGTCTTGTCATGCCATTTGGGCTGACCAATGCACCCGTGGTATTCATGGATTTGATGAACCGGGTTTTTCGTC